TTGTCTGACAGCCTTCATTCATAGCCTGCATTCTCCTCTCCTGGAAATTTCCAGACATTTTCACCTTGCTGTTTCAAAGCCCTGTGTATCTCCAAAGATGCTGAAAGGTGACTGTGTGCAGTTAGCACCTTGAAGGTCCCCTTGTGTTGCACTGTTTGCTGCACTCTTCCTTAAGCAACACCTGAAGGAAACAAAGTGGGAAAAAACCCTTTGATATGGAAATGTCACATAAGGCATTTTAGTGAGGTAAGTTGTATCTGTTCTTTACAAGAGTTTGGGGGGGGAAAAAAACGTAAACTAACAAAAGCCCTAATCAGGCAACATTTTGAGTGGATGAGTTGTTCAAAGAAGAACTTGAATGTTTTTCATAGTGAGGCTATTGATACTAGTTCTTAAAGATTAGAAAGCTCTTTCTTAATAGGGATTGACAAATTTTGATACAGTTCTGTTGTCACCTAATAAAAAATGAAATTGATTTGCTAGAACAGAGAACATAACTTCTCTTTCCTACACAGAAGCCGTACAGCTTTAACCTGTACTGGAGAAGTTTGTGCAATGCTGGTTTTCCATGTATTGGGATTTACAGTTAACTTAAAATCTTTCCTTGTACCTCAGAGTTAAGGGGTCTGTCCTGGGTTCAGCTACAGCAGTCATTTTTTCTCCTTCTCAGTAGCTGGTGCAGTGCTGTGGTTTTGACTTTCAGCCTGGGAACAACACTGATAACACCGATGTTTTTAGTTGTTGCTAAGTAACGTTTACTCTGACCAAGGACTTTCTCAGTCTCATGCTCTGCCAGGGAGGAGGGGAAACCGGGAGGAAGCGGAGACAGGACCCCTGACCCAAACTGGCCAAAGGGGTATTCCATGCCACAGCACGTCATGGCCAGTATATAAACTGGGGGGAGTCACCCGGAAGGCCCAGATCGCTGCTCGGGTCGGGCTGGGTATCGGTCGGCGGGTGGTGAGCGGTTGTGTCCTCTCCCCTTGTTACTCCCCTTATCATTATTACTGGTAGCAGCAGTGGTTTGTATTATACCTTAGTTACTGAACTGCTGTTATCTCAACCCGTGGGAGTTACATTCTTTCAGTGCTACTCCCCATCCCTCTGGGATTGGGGGTATGAAGAAGGGGGGGAGTGAGTGAGCGGCTGCATGAGTCCAAGTTACTGGCTGGTCTTAAACCATGACAGGGTCCTGTAAGTTGTAGAATTTGTCAGGCAGGGTTTATGAGGATAATTTCCAGGCACTTTTTTACTTCTCACTAAAAACAGTTTGGATTTTGATGTTAAAACCTAACCCTTTTGCGGAAATCATAAGCCATCTATATCTAGAACTTGCCAAAATGTTGTTCTCTTAGTTAGGCAGTGATATGGCTGGATATCACATACAACTCACAGAACCTTGTTTGTGACTTGTTTGGATGAATCAGGTTTTCTAATAAAAGCCTCACATCTGCAAAATTATCTCCTACAACAGATAGAAACTTCCTTTCTGAGTATTTTCATGCAGCTTGGTAGCTGAAACTCTTAGCAGCCTTCTTTTTATTTAGTCTTAAGTCTATGCTGGACATACTTTCAGCAGTACCTTCATTTTTATTCTAAGGACTGGAGTTTGCTGTGCTCAGCATTTATGATGGCAGAGTATAGGGAGGCAAGCTATTCTCAGACAGTACTGTATGTCAGTATGTCTCAGACCAACCATCACTCCTTGGGTATTCCTGAACTGGTGGGCTCCTAGTCAAGATTTCCATTCCTGGACAACAGAGTGCCTGAGATTTCTCGGCAAATCTGCACTCACTTGCAACACTTCTAATTTAAGGTAAAAGCAAGGTGAGATTATTTTACCCCAGAATGAAAAGGTTAACAGAGACAATTATCATTTGAAGAGACAAAAGCATTAGAACCATACTGAAGAGCTGCATGTATGTTAGTATAGTTCCTAGAAGTTCTCCCTCTCTGCTTCATCTAACTAAGAAAGCTGCCAGGAGACCAGGAGGGGTCCAGCCCATAGATGACACCCTTCCAGGTTAGATCCCTGCACTGAAGGGGGTCGGTCACTGAGCAGAGTTTTGTGTGCAGAATCCCTTTGCTACGTGGCATTAATTTTCAGAACTTGAATCTCTTCTGAACTTTCCTGCGGTACATAGCCTCATGCTTAACCAGCACTCCAAACTTTTCCCTGAGAGTTGTTCACTGTATGGCTTTAAACATTTTTACCTCCAGTGCTATCACCTGTCTAGACAATAAACAAAACTCTTTGCTAGATGTGAATACAAAGCTTGACAGCTGGCTTGATATTTTATTTGACTGTAAACAAATCACTTAACCACAGTCTGAACAGATTTTTTTTTTTTGTTTAAATAGCTGTGGAGAAGGTTTTTCTCACCACAAAACCCTTAAAAATGTAGATACTGAGAAGTGTGCTTTATGAAAAAACGAATACTGAAAACCATGTGTCCTGGTTTGAGCTGAAACCAGGTCACCATGCAAATGTAGAAGAGGGACTGATGAATGCAGCTCGTAAATAGCCCCTCATAGAGGTATCTATGGCAGTAACTGAACAAAGATTGAGCTATACAGCAGGAGTAATGTTGTTAAGCCTGGGTTAGTGGGGTTAGGGTAGAGGTTGTAACAGTCACAGTCCATCTCCCTTCTCTTAAAACCCGTTCAACTCTAATCAAACAAAACCAAAAAAACCACCCACTTTCTTTGTCTTTACTCACAAATTATATTCTGCCATGCAGACAAGCTGTTTTTCCATGCAGCTCATTCTTCAATATTAAGATAGAAAAATGAATGCCTTTCTTTGAGTCCCTTGGCTTGATAGGAAGGCAACTTTCTTTATTAACTTTTTTTTACTTACTGAAATATCTACAGGATAGAGTCTCTTTTTGTGGGAGCACAGGATGACACTGACAAGTGGTTTCGGTTGGTAATCACAAAGGAAACTGAAATGGATGGGTCCTTTTTTGTTACAGTCCATAGATAGTAAAAATTACAATCTTTTATGTTTACTGGATTTTTTTAATGTTTATTCATGCTTTTCTTACATTCCATTATCATTTGCCTTGCCAAGCAGGTCAAAAGTTTTATGGTTCTTTGTACTTCATAAGTAGTACTTCAGCATCTTTTAAAATGCAAATGCCAGTTCTTGCTAAAAGAAGTCTGTGCACAACTATTTATTTACTATATTCTGAATCTACAATATAGAATAGATGTTGTTCTTCATATTATGTTATTTCAGTTTTATTACAGTATCCTGATCCAGGGAGGTATGGGTTTCCAGTATTAGGATGAACCTGTCTGGGGCAATTTTGTAGGTTTGTGTGCTTCTTGCTGGTATGTGCCTGGTGCTGGTTGAAATCCTGAGCTTGTGCTGCAATGCAGTGCTAACTGGTCACGGTATCTGTCAACTGATGGAGCTGCTGTCTACTACACACTTGTGCACTGTGGTTCAGTTTTAAATGTGTGATGTGTCTGCTGTAGTTTTGATAATTAATGTGGCATATTTGAATTTTACACATACTATGTTATCAGTGCCAGCATTTCTTTCTCTAGGTATTTTTCAGATTGACCTCGGAGAACTCAATTCTAAAAATCTGTGCATCTTCTTTTGATATCTTGGTTTACTGTATATGTGCAATCACCTTTTACACTGAGAGGTGTATTACACACAGCATTAATCGCCTGGTGGTGCCACGTTTTGTAGAAATGCAAGATACCATGATAAATTCTGGCTGCACATGGGTCTTTGAAAGGGCAAACAGTGCATTCATTACAAAGATGTAACAGATCTTCTGCTGGTGTGAAAAGAAGATTTGGGACCTAGCTGCCAGGGCATCCATTCTTCAAGGGAAGAGTGGTCTGAGTACTGAGTGCAGAGGGACAGTTAGTGCTGGGAGGTGAAGGTAATGCTGGATATCTGTCCCCTGCCACAGCACTGGGGGTTATGCTGGACAGGCTGTAAGCACTTGGAGGTAGTAGCAGTCTTTCTGGTGTGCAGATGTGCCCCATCTGGAATAAGGACATCCTCAGGACATCCTCTTTCATGAGTGAGAAGCAAAAGGGCTACTGCAGTATCTACAGGGAAGGATGCTCCCCATTATTCTTAGGACTGGGGGAATCCCAGTGCTGTAGAAGTGCCTCTTTGGCTTCTGGGTTGGAAAAACGCCACCAGCTGCCATCAAACTGGCATCTCTTCATTTCTTTTTCAGGCCTAATGGTATTTACATCCCCCGTATTTTCCTGGGAACACAGCTGGCTTTCAAAGCTAAGAATGAGTGGCGGGTAGTTATCCCTGCAGTGCAAGGTTGATAGCAACTCTACAGAGCAAACAAAGACTTCTTCCTGAAAAGTGTTAGCTGCGCAGATCCCAAAATGATAGTGGAAGCACTGTCTTTTCTGTCAGTCAGACAGAATGGCAGCCTCTGAGGAGCCCATGGCTTGTCTGCCTGGTTGGTATTTAGATGACACCTACTGGTGAAGTATCCCTATTCTTGAGGCATGTTTTCCATGCAACAAACAATCTTGGATGTGCCACAGCACTGGCCTTAGCGTGCTGTCCTGCTGAGAATGAGAGCTGCTCATGGAGAAAGCATATCCTTTATCGTAAACTGTGAATTGGTGTCATGAGGGAGTTTAAAGCCAGACCACAGAAGAGAAAATCCTTGAAAATTACGTCCCCAGCTTAATTTTTTTTGGCTTGGTTCTGTCTTGCACCTTAATCCCTGGCATTTGAGTAGGGATAACTTCTGCATGTGTATTTAATCCATCTAGGGGTGTGTATTCAGAACATTACTGGACAGGACCCTTAGCAGGCTCCTGTCACTTTGGAGTTGGCCCTGTTGTGTGTCAGGTAGGTGGCAGGCAGAAGTTCCTTCCAACCTGTATCAATCATCTTGTGATTCTGTGATGCTTCCATTCTGTCTGCAAGTGTTACAGCCACGCACTTCAGATCAAGCTTGAAAATACTTTGAAGTCAGCGTTGCTTCTTATTCTTCCAGATACCCTCACCTTTTTCAAACAGCAGCAGCATCTGAGGGAGAGATGGGAACAAAATCATGTGGCTGTCAGAAAGGTTTCTCGGCGGTCTGTCAGCAAAGAGCGATGGGTGGAGACACTTGTGGTTGCAGACAGTAAGATGGTCGAATATCATGGAAGTGACCATGTGGAATCATATATCCTCACTATAATGAATATGGTATGTATAATATTTCTTTTTTTATATAGATGAATGAAGCAAATTTTAACTTTCATTACTGATCTCCTTGAAACAAGTCTGTAACATCATTCACTGAAAGAAATGTAATATCGTTCATATATGTTCAATGAAACTTTGAATTTTAAAGCATTTTTTACTTTATATTTTGCATAGGCATAATTTTCCTCTGGAGTTTAAGTGAGAGAAGTTTCATACCTATAAATTCTAGCAGTAATTTTCTTTCCACTGAAATTCTCTGTCTGCCCTGACCACTGCTCATTGGTGATCTCAGGTTGGTAGCTAGAGCAACAGAGAGAAATTCTTTCCCATGTCTGTGGATGTGAAAGGCATGCGGTATCCTATTGGAACTATTGCTAACTTAGCAAGAGCTAAAATATCAGTGTGCTACTGTTTTGGTCACGAATCCAAACAACGTGAGCTATTATAAAGAAAGTTAACTCTATCTCTGTTAAAACCAGTACAATTGGTTTTCCAAGTAAGTGTCTGCCTGTAATACAAAGTCCACATTGTTAAAAAATAAAAAGAAAGTTTAACTTTCAATGTTTTCATTTGTGGCAAGTTTCATGATAATTGATGGGGGCGGGGGGGGGGGGAAGGGCCGGCCTACAAATATGGGGGGGGGGGGGGGGGGGAAGGGACTGCCTACAGATATGTCTTCTGTTAATCTATATTGTAGTGTATATTGACCATGAAGAGTCTATTGAGGGTGCCTTATGTGTCATTGTCATGGTATGTGTGTAATATATATATGAAATTAATCACAGTGTAATTCTAGCCATGGTAACCTATCTGTCCCTTACATTTATACAGTATGTTTCCTGTTTCCCACAGGGAAAATGTGTGGAATAAACCCCTGCCATGATCAGATTCAAGAACAAACAAGTCTTAACATCTTCTCTGCATTCTGTACCTGAGATACTAGGGTTACTCACAATGATTCAGTTTTCAGTTTAGTACCTTGAAAAAGACCCATATCCACATCAGACTTTTGAAAACACAATTTCCAGTTAATCTTGCTAATTTCTCAGTTTTGACCCAATCACAATCCGTTTTGTCTATACATACTTCTTGTGATAGCTCACATACAGATAGATGATTACTATTTTTGGTTCTGAATCCCTTTCCTCCTGCCTAATTCAACATTGTGATGGTGTTTATGACATTTGGGTCAGGTTTTTTCTGAGTTCATTCCTTGCTCTTTTTTTATGTGGATTCTTTTTTTAATGAATTCATTATCTTTGCGTTTGTTCTTATCATCCTCTTCTGTGCTGTGAAAACACAAGGGTATCCGTAATTTAACTGATTTCTCTTTGCCTAGTACTGACTAATTTTTGCTTTATTGTGGTAGAAGTCGATTCTTATTAAATCATGGGATCATAGAATGGTTTGGTTTGGAAAGCACCTTAAGATCATCTAGTTCCAACCCCCCTGCCATGGGCAGGGACAACACACACTAGACCATGTCGCCCAGGGCCTTGAACACTGCCAGGGATGGAACATTTACCACTTCTTTGGGCAACCCGTTCCAGTGCCTCACCACCCTCACTGTAAAGAACTTCTGCCTTATATCTAACCTGATCTTCCCCTGTTTTAGTTTGAACCCATTACGCCTTGTCCTGTTGCTACAGTCCCTGATGAAAGTCACTCTCCAGCATCCTTGTAGGCCCCCTTCAGATATTGAAAGGCTGCTCTGAGGTCTCCACGCAGCTTCTCTTCTCCAGGCTTAACAGCCCCAACTTTCTCAGCCTGTCTTCATATGGGAAGTGCTCCAGCCCCCTGATCATCCTCCTGCCACTCCTCTGGACTTGCTCCAACAGCTCCATGTCCTTCTTATGTTGAGGACACCACAAATTCTCCAAGTGGGGTCTCATAAGACCAGAGTAGAGGGGCAGGATCACCTCCTCTGACCTGCTGGTCACACTTTTGATGCAGCCCAGGATACGGTTGGTTTCTGGGCTGTGAGCACACACTGAAAACAGATCACATTCAGTTTCTCATCAACCAGCACCCCCAAGTCCTTCTTCACAGGGCTGCTCTGAATCTCTTCTCTGACCAACCTGTAGCCGTGCCTGGGATTGCCCCTACCCACATGCAGGACCTTCCACTTTGCATTGTTGAACTTCATGAGGTTGGCCATTGGCCACCTCTCAGGTGTGTCGATACCTCTGGATCCCATCCCTTCCCTTCAGCATGTCAACTGCACCACACGGCTTGGTGTTATTGACAAACTTGCTGAGGGCACATCAATCCCACTGTCCACATCTCTGACAAAAAATCAAAACAGAACAATTTGATATGCTGATTTTTTGCACCCTGAGTGAACCTCTCTCCATCAGTGTTACGTGACTCTACGTGTTGCGTTCTTTTCTGCAGGTGTTTTTTAAGAAATCCGAAGTTCTTGGAAGGGAAATGGACATAAATAATCTTGTGTGTGCTTTTGGTCTTCAGCTTACAAACTCTTGCCAAATCCTGTATCATAACTCATTTGGCAGAGCTGCCCTTTGCAGTAGTTCTAACATTTATTGCATTTCAGTAAACGTTCAGTGACATGCACTGAGAATTTAAAAACCAAAACAACACCTCCACATCAAGATGAACAGTGTGCTTGAAGTAAATACTGTATTTTTCTCTCTAAAGTCCTGTTCTGCTATAGAGGAATCAGTTAATCTCATATCTCCTGGCTCTGGCACAGGTCACAGGGTTGTTCCACGATCCAAGCATTGGCAATGCAATTCACATTGTGCTGGTTCGGCTCATTCTCTTTGAGGAGGAAGAGGTAAGGTTTTAATTCTCCTCAAAATGTCACTCATCATCAGACTTGGGACTTCAATGCATTGAGCTACAGTTGTAAAGATGTTTTATTATCCTTGCTTAAAATAACGTGTTAATTTTACTCTTCTATAGTCTTTGGCAGAACAAATTCTAAACGCAGACTTTGCTGCATAGGAAAGTATTTAGCTGATGACTTCAGGTATTTCTGCATAGAATCACCAAGGAAAATGTAAATAAACCAAGCAAATTAGGAATGGGAAAACGGAATCTCCCTAGTGTCAAAAGAACACGGGATGCCAAGGAAGACTAAATGAGAAACAGAAATTATTCGTCATGACTCAGAATCTAATTACCTAGCATTACCTGAAATGTATTGTATGCTAGAGTATTTGCAGGTCTCTGAAGAAACGAATTTGTTGTTGTGCAGCTCAAACACACATTTTCCTTTTTAGATCTTTAGAAACAAAAAAAAAAAAAAAAGAAAACCTAGTAGGTGCTAATTTCTGTAAACTAGTTATATGTTGTTAGTTTCTAGTGTCTCTCATTCACAGGTGTGTTGTTATATGCTTAAATACATGCTGACTGTCATAATTTCATATACTAAACAAAACCCAAACCAACTCTGTGCATGACATAGCTAGCTCTGACTACAGGAACACATTAAGGGGATTTTTCTCCATGGCATATGTTTTATAACCACAAGCCAGATGCTTCTGAAGGCAGTGAACGAAGCCATGGGGCCAGGCAATCTCTTCTGAAATAAATTATTAGGATAGAGACTATCCTTATATCCCTTATTGAAAGAATATGCAGGCCAAAACCTGTAGTTCACATCTTACCAGGATAGTTAGAATCTGAAGTCTGTGGTGACATTCAGTTAAGTTTACTTGCTAAATTTCTGTGGCTGTTTTGATAATAAACCATGGATTGAGCGTTAACAGTGTTGGAAAAAGCAGTGTTGCGTATCTTTCAAAATTTAGTTTTACGTTACCCAGACATTACTTTCTAGTAACAATGTTATTGAGATACTTTGTAAAAATTTTATTTAAATAAACTGGTACAAGATACAGTGAATGCCCACAACCAGAAATGAGAAAATACGTTTTTGAATGAATTTATTTTGCATACTTTGTATTTCAAAAGCAATTTCAGTAACTTGCATGTATACTGTATAATAATAAGATGAGGAAGAAACATCTGTGATGGCATTGGAATTGACTCTTGGAAACTGAAAAACATGGTGAAAGAAGTAGACCTTTAGAAGCATAATTGTTCCCTCAGCATAACATTTTTCACATAACACTGAGACGAACTTCAGCATGGAGTCCAATACTAAGTAGTCTTTACCTTCTCAATAGATGAAAACTTGCTTTCAAGAGAATATAAAGAGTTTGTTTGAAAGTTTCAATTCAGTGTTGGATCTTACTAAGGTCACTTACCAATAAATATGTACGTTTCTGCATTTAATTTTTCCTTTAACTGCACCAACTATAAACATGTCAACATTTTAACTTAAAATTCAACATGTTAGATAAATAGATGTTATTTCTTCTAATGATGGCTCTATCTTCAGGCAAAAGCATAATTGCATTTCAGAGATTACCCAGCTTCACAGCTAACATCGCTGACATGTTACTGCAGTGCAGCATGGTCTTTACAATAATGTTTTCCTTCATTTCCCATTAGCAAGGCTTGAAGATAGTTCACCATGCTGATAAGACACTAGCCAGCTTCTGCAAATGGCAGAAGAATGTCAATCCCAAGAGTGACATCAACCCTACACACCATGATGTGGCTGTCCTCTTAACCAGGTATGACAGCAGTTCAGTGCCTGTGTCTGTCTATTGTTTAATTGCATTTTTATGGTGATGATATTTTTTGAATAGTCTTCTGACATCATTTAGTCCATCCTACATAGAACCCAGTAAAGTGGTCTAGTGAAGACATGCTGTTTCAAAAATACAGTGGTAATGCAAAAAATAACCTAGTGTGAGTGTGCCTGACACTCATACAGGCAGCGAATGAGAGTTATAAAAACATGTGGTTAAAGTTAGACCTGCTGTACTTTTTAAAGGGATTGTTTTTAATTTGTTTTCAAAGTACATATAACACTTCATGAATACATGTGGGTGTTTTATTAGAGATGCATTTTAGTCAGGAAATTGAGATCTGTATGTCCCGAGAGATTAGCAATTTGCAGAGCTCAGGTAATTTTCCCCACTTGATCCTATCCATTTTGTGCTTAGTCACTTCTCTGTTCTTCTTTGAGGCAATACACCAAAACAACATAGCACGTAGATCAAGAACTCCATAATGACAAATCCTAAAGTAATATACAGGTGCAGCTCAGAACTGAAGATTATCTTGCAAACACACTGCCATTATTTTTAAACTCTAAAGCGTATGATTTTTAGATATTATCTCCGTATTTAAGAAGACACATCTCTTTTTTGTGTGAACAAGGGAGGCATAGCACACTTGAATGTCATGTTTGAGATTACACAGGGAGTTTTTGGAAGCACATGAAGCAGAACTACAAATAGTAGAAATGGATGCAATCTGCACACAACTGAGAGAAAAGATTGAGAAAAATGAGAGAAAAGATTGAGTCTAAGGCCTGCAAAAAAAAAAAAAGTCCTAAGTTAAAGTCTGTCAGGCAGAAAAAAAAAAAATCACAAAAATAAAATCCCTCAAGTGGTGCAGTAGAGAAAAGAGTCAACAAATCTCATGATGGTGCATGATTTACCTCTGAGAATAAACAGGCTTCAAGCAGTTCATGTGAATGAAGCTGAGAGGTATGGTGAATTTAATAAACCATACCTCAAAACACTGAAGGTTTTAAAACTTTTTCTTATATGAGTTGACAATAAAGATATGTGTTTAGGCACTGCAGCAACATAAATACTGGCTTCACATTATAGCAATATACTATGATAGTAGCAGAAAAAGTGCCTATTTTTGTTGCATATATGTTGGCAAAAACGTTAGCATTGTGCTTTGCTTAAAATGCCAGTTAGCGCTAACACATTATAAGATGGAGACTTATCACCCAATGTAAGTGACGCTCTCCAGTTGATTTTAAGCTCTTCTAATGACATGTCTCTTTTGTGATTCCAGAAAGGACATTTGTGCTGGCATGAATCGTCCATGTGAAACCTTAGGTTTGTCTCATCTGTCAGGCATGTGTCAACCTCACAGAAGCTGTAACATTAATGAAGATTCTGGCCTACCTTTGGCTTTTACTATTGCTCATGAACTTGGACACAGGTATAGTTGAAATTGAAGGCGGGAGGGCTAGCTGAGTTTAATTTATTATATGTTTGTTAATACTCAAATTGCCAGACAGAAACAAAACAAGGAGTGAGTTAACGTCTCTGTCACTAAAATCAAAACTGTGTTTGTTTCTCTAGGCAAAGGAATAAGAAAGAGATTCTTAAGCCACTGACCTTTGTTTATATCTACAACTATCCAGTCTGCCCCTTTTAACAGAGTCTGCTAGGACAGTATATCAGGATGAAATATTAAAGTTGCAAAGAAGCATGACTTAATCATGCTTATTTTTCCAAACAGATACTGAATTACTATTCAATTACTTTAGATGATCTCCAAGTCAATCCAAATAATTTAAAACGTACCTGTTTCCTTATGTCAGGATACTTCAGTATTGCAGATTAGCTAGAAACAATTTTCAATTCAAGCAGTCAAACCTCACAGAAATATCAAATCTTTGTTCTCCTTTCTGACCTACAAGTAAAGTCACTTTTGAATATTTCTTAATAACTGGTATCTTCTGTATATTAATATTGCTATTGTGGATACACTTGGGTCAAGTGAACTGAAGTTCCAGGGCATTTAGTTTCAGACACAGCTAAGGTCTTTATTACTGGATATTTGCTTGAACTAGATTTCTTGGTATTTCAAATTTCCGGGGTGTTTTTGTCAGTGAGTTGGTTTATTAAGCTCACCTGAAAAGATTCTGATTTTTGAATCTCTTTTGACACTGAGGTGTTTTCCTCAGGGCAGAGCATTTATCTTATGGATACTCTGGCTAGAGTTCTTCTCAGCTGGACCATGTTTCTTGGCTAGGTGACAAGTTCATTGCTGTATCTACAATCAAAGTATTTGGGTTGTGCACCCAGCTACCCATCAGGATGAAATCTGTATGTGCTAATGGTATCTTACAATAATAATCATAATATCTCATCATCATTGTCATCTGATACAAAGATTACTCAAGTTTTGATCCTATCGACCATTAATTGGCCTTTTTTTATTCAACCTCTCAATCACCAGAAATGAAATACTGTAAGTACATAACACTGAAATCGTTACAATTGGATCTGGATGCTGTGGCCTTAGTTACTTGGTCCCCACTCCTCTTGTTGACAGGAAGCTTTTCTTATTAACAGTAGTAATCAGAAGACACTTCTTCCAATAGAGCTGTGTGTGATCCTCAACAAGTCTAGCCTGGGTGGCTGGTACCTCACAGCTGTGGATGCTGCAAGACAGAGTATTGCTTTACTCATCTTTGCAGGATTGATGTAGGGCCTTGCCTGTAAGAGGTGTCTCCACAAAGAAAACTGAAAACTGTAGGGTTTGGTGTTAACATGGAACCATTCTTGCCAAAAGCTAGATTAGAAAGTTCAGGTGTGGACAACAAAAGTCTGTAAGAACAGATGAATAAAAATGAGAAAAAAAGCCATGGTCTGAGTTAAAGTGGTCCAAGTCTGAAATAACTGGGATCCAAGAGCTAGGAAGCATTTTCAGCTTTAGCAGCTTTGATAGAACTTTGAGATTTAAGCTATTGTTCCGAGCCCAACTGTTCAATAGTGTTTTGTCTTCCTTAAAAATACCCTTCACTTTAGTCTTTGACAGTCTGTTCTTTATTTTGTGCAGGACAGTATTGCTGTACATAACATATATTTGAAAGCTTTGTTGGAGGGAGTGTAGATTTTTTGGTAGATTTTTGGTCAAACAGGTATCTGCAGTTCACCAGGGGAGGAAGCAACCCCAGTGTATTTTTAAGCACAGTGTGGAACCTATAGGTAGGTGTTGTGGTACAACCAATCAGCTGGAATTACTAAATGTTGTTTTTTATCTCCAGCTTTGGTATCCAGCACGATGGAAAAGAGAATGACTGTGAGCCTGTTGGAAAGCGCCCATATATTATGTCCCGACAGTTGCAGTATGATCCTACTCCGCTCACTTGGTCGCAGTGCAGCAAGGAATACATCACACGTTTCCTAGAGTGAGTGATCAGGTTGTAGCATTTCTCTGAAATGAATACAGCTCTGTGTGAGATGTTTATGTGGAGTTTAAAGTAAATCCTCTATTACTGCACTACTGAATTTGGTTTTTTGCAGTGTGCTTGAGTTAATTCCTGTGGAAGGAATGCCCCAAGCTTACTGTTCACTTAGCATTTGGGAAAAGCTCCATTATATTCTTGATTTCTGGAAGTGAACTCGAGTCTTGTCATATTGGTTCAGGTTTGGTGCAGCCTGCAGCTTTCTGCAGCTATCAGGAAGAAAGAAGCCTTTCCATCAAGGACTCTGATGGAAAATCGTAGACCTTGCCTTTGCCACAATGACGTGTTGACTTCCATGACCTGTTCAAATTCATCATGTTTTTCTTTCAAAGAGCAGCAATATGATATAACTGTATAACTTTTATCAGAATTTTGGAGTGCTGTGAAGCCACTCTGCAAACTCTAATGACCTTGTGGTATTTCCCCTTTCACAAGCTATGTTTTGCCTTTGTAAACCTTCCCTTACTAGATGTTTGTTAGCAGCACTTCAACATAACTTGGCTGGAATCTGGAAGTACTATTTCCAAAGGCCATATGTAAAATTTCCATAAAGAATTAGAAGTTGAAAGTCTGTAGTAAAATGTCAAAAAGGTGTGGTTGTGGTGGTTTTTTAATATGTAATTTTGTCTTTTAGTCGTGGATGGGGATTCTGTCTAGATGATATACCCCAAAAAGAAGTTTTGAAGTCCCCAGTCATTGCTCCTGGAGTGATTTATGATGTGCATCACCAGTGCCAGCTTCAATATGGTTCTAATGCTACTTTCTGTGAAGATGTAGATGTAAGTGCTATATGTTTTTCTTCATTTTCCTAATCAGAACTTAGGCTTCTTGAACAACATGGAAGTGCAGTTAGTGAGCCTCAGCTGCTAACTACAAATATCGCATGTGCAGAGTCTCACAGGCTAAATGTGTAGTTTAGGCATTGCCTAACACTGTTTTTCAGAGTCTGCAAGTGAGTTGTTGTACTGTTTGCCTTTTATTTTGCAAGACTTTTACTGGATCTGGCCCCGTATCTATTGTTAAATGCCTGTGCTTTAGCACTGGAGTAATTTTGGTTTTAAACCTGTAATACTGATCTTGATTAAAGTTTCAATGCAGCTTAAATCCCATTTTAAAAAATGCTTCAAACTTGTAGCTTTCCACTGACCATATCATTCTGGGAACAAATCTTCAGTTCCAGCAAACTTTTTCTGAAGAAATCAGGGTTGTGCTCTCTCCCCATATGTCCTGGTTTTGCAGACTCTTGGTGGTTTAACTAGTTAAAGGGAATTTCAGTCCACATACATTGAAGAATCTTTATTTTCCCATCAAACATCTGATTTTTTGTGTGGAAATGTGTGATTTACAAGGTGTCCTGGGGTTTGTTTAACAGCACAGCAAAACAGTGTTTTGTGGAGATGCAGGAGAGCAGTAAGGTCACAGCAGCACAACTCCATTTGGCTCCATACAACATTTTTCTACTTAGAACAGAAGAAGCTGTGGTTTCAAGTGCTCGTCTAGCTAAGTGATGACTAATTTTCACTGTGTTTTGGGCAGTAATGTGCAGCAAACATTGCAGATAGCATCCAACTTGCTCACTCTGTTAAACACAGCTGTGGCAGAAGTGGCATTATGGCTGTTGGCAGTGCTGGAGTGGTTTTTAGGCAAGGTACTGTGCACATCTGTGGGTTGGAGACTGCTGACAGTGACTATTTATTTCATTCAGATAATTATTTGTATCCTCATCTACCCTTCTGTTAGGGAGATTATCTCTGATTAATCTTCTCAGCCTTAATAGATAACATGATTACCAATGTTGAACTGCATCTACTGATTCTGAAGCAGGTATTGAAAAATTGCTTTCATTACCTGCTGTTCCAGTTTCCTCAGTTACTATAATTTGTCTGTTGGTACAGATAGAAAATTAAAGTGTAATTTTGCAGTCTTGGTTCATTCTGTCTCTCCTTGGGTTTGAACCTAGTAGGCCTTTACATTCAACATCTCCTTAATAACTAATTTTACAGTTAGACATATGTCAGAAAATTAATGGGTATAATCTTGTTTTGCATTTTACTGGAAAGACTGTTTTGCAGGTAGCTGTACTGCCAAGCAAAGAAGTTGTGAGTAGTATGGTCTGCCTGGCATGTTGAATGATCAATATAGTCATTTTGTCTGAGAGGTCTGACTGTTCTTTGCCTTCCCACTGTTACTTTACACTTGCTTACTGACCACGCTACGTTCCACAGATTCCTTTCGAAAGAAGAATCTGCATTTAGCTGAGATGTGCCAGGGTTCAGTGACTCCATTTAGCAAAGACTTAAGATTTATAATTCAGATAGTGGTTTCCATGAACCATTTAGGTAGTAAGTCCTCTAAGCACATTAATACTGTCCCTCAAATAAGGAAAAGAAAAGCTAAACACAGATTCAGGGGAGGAATTTTCAAAGTGGTAGTTAGATCCATAGTTTCCTATCAGGCTATAGGAGCTCAAAATCCTTATCTAGTTGCCTTTTCTTTACCTCCAAAACTTCCACTGAAGCTCTTTGTGGTTTTTTGACCCTACTTTCTTTTAGTCACACACCCTGATCTCATAGATTGGGCGGAAAGTGTATACCGTACTGCTGAGGATAAAAATCACTTGCTTTGCAGTGAGTCCATGGTAGAATCATTAATTTCTTCAAGAGCACACAGTAAGCAGTACTTTTTCTTGTACTGTTGTTATACCAGTATTCTGGAAAAAAGCTCTGGTACATGGAGATCAATGTGGAATATTGCAAAGCTAAAAAATTTCCTCTGTCAACTCTCGCCACTGAAATCTACAAATGCACCTCATAAAAATGTATCTGTCAGTGGAAAGCTGTATTCAGTTTCGGTGCCTCTGGTATCTGAAGCACAGTGTAGGAGTACACTTTACAGACTAAAAAGCACAAAACATAACAAAAGAAGCACTCTACATACACGAGTAAAATAAAGAATTAATTTCATAATAAAGAAAACTAATTAGCTGGAACACTTGGGTAGCTCTGCCTTAAGAACCTGGTAACAATGGCTTCACGAAGAGTTGTAAGTAATACTACTCTTGAACTATAAATAGGGAACTACAAAACAACCTTTGACCAATACATTGTCCAAAAACAGCTAAATGAGCCAAGATGCAGTGCCCCAGACATTGTATTCCAAGTGGAGTTTCGAAGTGCTTTGAGATGTTCTATCAAGTTTTTTTCCAGTTTTCTAGATGAAAACCAGGATGAACACAGAATGCAGAAAGTTAATAAAAGGCAACTTACTCAAAACAGACTGTGCCTAAGCTTAGCTGTTTTAAATAGAAACAGGTCATTTTTCTATTTTTAAACAGAAGCAGTCATTCAAGTTTCACATTTCACACTTGGACAAACGCTGCTGGTAGCTCACTGGGGCTAGATTTTTGCAAGTGCACAGTTTCTATGTTGGCTCCCCCACCTGGCATGTTGCTTGCTGTGAGAATACCAGTGGGAATTGCTAGTGGGATCCTTCTTACCAGATCCTTTCTCTGATGACACGTAGAGCTCTCCCTGTTTCACAGGTAGATGCTGCCAGCTCTGTTCCTTCTCCCAGTGCTGAACTCTGCAGTTCAAACAGCCTCAGCCAAGACCTTACCCAGAGCTCCATGGCTTCTGCTTCTGTTGTTCCAGATGGGAGCTCACAGTCTCTCTGACACCCCTGGTTTCTCCAGCTTCTCACACAAAGCTCATTCAGGAGTTCCCAAGCATGCAGGGCTGCTGTGTGTCAATGAAAGGAGAAGCTAGCATACATGTGAACTGAGGAGGGGGGACTAGCCCTTGATGTCTGCCCTCATTCTGTAAAGAATTGTTCTGAGTGAAGAAGACTTGCTATAAGGTAGCTGTAATGATTTTTTGCCCTGCTAGCTCTTTTGGCTGTGAGGAGATTATGTCCCTTCAGTGGAGTCGACCACTGCACGTGCAGCAGCAGCTGAAATGCTGTGCTTTGCTGCATTAAATTGGCACCAGTTTCTGGGTAACTTAATATGCAATCATTCACTAATGAGAGCCTTCACCCCACCAAGCCCACTAGGCAGTCTTCTCTGCCAGCTACCCTCGACTGCTTCTTTTAGATCATTCCTTTGCCATCTGTTTGGCTGATGTTTTAAGAGACCTTTGTTTTGATCTCTTTTTCCTCATCCAGTTTTGGGACCTTCATGAATATTAACCTGGCTGTTGTACTTGGAGATATAACTTTGTTTTTATTTTTCTGGCTGGCTTCTCTGAACTTCTTTGATTTCACTCTATGTTCTCAGGTAGACAGCAATTCTAATTTGAATATTGTACTTATTAGTACTCATCAAATGAAAATCATACAAACTCTGTTCACCTTCATTATAAACAGTGGTGTCCAAACTTTGTAAAGCCTTTTTTCGTTTGTGTAGCTGGGAGCTGAGCAGCCAATGAGAAAAATATTTGAAGTCATGTAGTTCAAGTAATTCACCTGATTGATAGAAATCATTCACCATTTTGTATTTGTTAAGTAGTTTCTCCTTGTATTTGTTAAGTAGTTTCTCCTTGTACGCTAACTAAATCTGGTCCTAACTTGTGGAAAACCTTGAACATTTGCCTTTGAAATTATGGCCTTTACAAGGCTTTCTAAATGAATGTATAAAGCTTTTGAAAATGGAATGCTTTTGAAAGTCTTGGCCATAGGAGTCCAGCTTTGCTTCAGACTGCTGCAGTTTTCTTTCTTTTCCAGAACCTTTGCCAGACACTCTGGTGCTCAGTAAAAGGCTCCTGCCGCTCCAAACTGGATGCAGCTGCAGATGGAACTCGGTGTGGAGAGAACAAGGTGACAGCACTGCTGCCTACAAAAGGGTGGCAGAGGACCCATCAGTAGCTCTGCCATTGTTCATTGTGAAAGAGGAGCATCATGTGACGTCTCACTTAAATTTTCAACCCTCAGGGACTGAAATAACAAATAATTCACAATAACATTTTCCTGCAATAATAGTCTTAAGCTGTTTGTCCTTCTCTCTTCAGTGGTGCTTCTCTGGTGAGTGCATTACAGTAGGCAAGACTCCCGAAGCAATCCATGGTGGATGGGGCGTTTGGTCATCCTGGTCCCATTGCACAAGGACATGTGGGGCAGGAGTTCAGAGCGCAGAGAGACCTTGCAATAACCCAGAGTAAGCTGAGTGCACCATCTTTTCTTACTTTTCATTCGAGATCTTTGAGACACTTATGACATTGGAAGCTCTTGTATGAGATGGTTATCAGGAGGTGACACAGCAAGACAGTCACTGAACACCTGTCCTTCCCAGTTAAGCTTACCTGTGTGAAACTCATTGCCTCACCTCACATTCTTTAATGCTTACCCTCCCTGGAGCTTATTTCCACACAAAATTAAAAAAAAACCCAAACCTGTTATTTAGTATTCAGGCCTTGCAGAAATAATAGAAATGTTGCTTTGATAATACCACCATGAATAAATAAATGCCCTGAAACACTGGGTGAGAGCAATAGCTAGTAATCTGTTCCGAGGGAAATCAAGGAGTCAACTGTTCATGTTTTGTTCTAGTCATCAGCTTTGTTTGACCTTCAGACACAGGAGCTGGTAGGTATAGAACATGAAGGCAGAATTTTCTAATACATATCTAAGTTCATGAAGACCCAACATCTAATTTTCAGAAATTACTAAAAAGGGTGCCTAACACTCTTCATAAGGGAAATCACTTGGCTTTTCTAGAAGAAGTTTCAAACATTCTGGAAAATATGGTATTTTGGGGGAGTTAATTCGATAGAATAATTTGTTGTGAGCTCAGCCAGGCAATTCTTTAGGCTCATCACTTCTTTGTTATACAGGGTTTTTTCTAGATCTCTGTGCTCCATGCTGATGTGTTTGGGTACTCAAACATGTGAGTGGTATCTCTGCCCTGTCCAGGATTCAGATTCGCCTTGTTATCTGGAACCTGAAAGACATTGCTCTTTCAAAACCATTTTAACCCAGAATCTCATGTCTCAGTCTGAATGTTCCTTTTCTAGGCCACAATTTGGAGGAGACTACTGCACTGGAGAAAGGAAACGCTATCGCATGTGTAACATCAGCCCCTGCCGAAAAGACTTGCCAACCTTTCGTCAGATGCAGTGCAGTGAATTTGATACAGTTCCCTACCAGAATGAATTCTACCACTGGGTTCCCATTTATAACACAGGTATGAATCTACAGATTTTTTAATACCTTGTATAAAAAGTCAGATTTACAGACCTACGAGTAACGTCTACAAGGGCAAAAAGTCACTGTATTATAAGTCTTTAAATTAATCAGAGAGAAAAATCTGGTGTGCCTCTGTATGCAGGTGTGCCTTTTGTGTATACACAAAGGCAGGGATTCTCCACAAACAGATATTTTAGCAAAGCTGTGGTAAGTAATGGCTGTGATTGTAATTAGCCTAGTTCCTGGAAAGATACTGCACTAAGACAAGCTATTGGAAGTTACATTTATACTAGTTGTTCAGGATAGACCTAAACCGTCTTTTCCATTGTCAACTGCAGAACCACAGAAGTACAGTAGCATAGTGTAAAGCTTCATGTTTGGGCCTGCAGCATCACTGCACCCAATAAGCAGAACTGTTCCGCTGCACAAATGGTGCTCTACTACTTCCAAACTCCGATCTCTATGGTAAGTATACCTGGCACCATACCAAGGAAGTAATACCTCAACAGTTTCAGTTTTGTATTGTCCTGTATTGTTGAAACAGAATGATGCCTCTGCATTATAGCTTGCTTTGTAACAGCTAGTTGCTAAATACAAGGGTAGCAGTTACTACTGTGCAGTTTGATTCTTGGTGTATGCATAAATGTAAGATGTAGATGATCCAGTAGAAGCTGGCAATATAATTTTATTTTATTTTTTTTTCTAAACCAGTTAGGGAAGCGAAGCTGAGATTCAGCCAACAGTATTGCGTGGCATGTTCATTGCATTTTCATGGTTATTGCCAGTTCTGAATAGGTTTTCTGAATTTCAGCTACTGTTTCAATTTCATTCAAACAAACACACCATTGAAGATGAACCTGCAGCAGACACACTTCTCTGGTGAAAGAAAATATGGTTGATAGAGAAAGACTTTCAGAAGAACAAACTGTGATAAATACTAACAGCCTAAGACTTAGTCCAAAGCCAAACCTGTAAAACATTTTGTGCAGACTCATAAACTGTTTCTTTCACTTGCCTGTCACTGAAGACTGGAATTCTAGTCCTCGTTGTTAGTGTATTGCTGCAGGCTGTACCCTTAGTTCTGTTCATGTCCTCTCTAGGGCAGTGCTATGGAACTGGTAGTTCTGCATGCGTATTTGTTGCGGGTCTGCTATTAAAAGGCATTAAGAATCATGAATTAAATGCTTCCTGCGCACTGGAAGGCATGTCTATTACGGTGTGTCCATGCCGTATTTCAAATAGAGCCAATTTGAGCTTTACAGACAAACAATTTATCTTTAAAACGCCGCATTGTTGAGCCTGATATACTTCATCTGGAACATCCTAGGTTTCAGTGACCTTTTTCAAAAATCTTTCAAATACCAAGGCAATGTGGTTTTTTCTGCCTTAAAATGCTTTTTGACTGTTTTTACCTGTTTTCTCAGCAGTCAGAATTTCAGTCTAGAGTTACACATCTCCCTCATGACCTGTGAGACCCTTAATGTTTGCAACTTCATTTTTACCTTGCATAAACAACTTTTAAAGTATTTTCCTGCTGCTAAACTCTTTAACTTTCAAAAATCCTGGCTTCCTCAGGTAGGCAGGTTCTCCTGGGAACTCTCATCTATGCCAAATAGTGTGCTGATCCTTTATCTGATATCATCATTATATGATTGAGGGTGGGTGGGCGCACTGCTTCCAGTCATGTTGAGCCAGTGTTAACTACTGCACTGAAATACACCCGGGAGTTTTTCCTCCCATTTCAGTTTAAAGTTTTCTTTCATCTTCTCTTGGTTGCTGAAAGTGTCCTGGGCAAAATAACTCCAGAAATAAGGTCATGAAACAGTGCTCTCTCTGTAATATGGAGCAGTTTGAGCCTTTCTTGTGTTTGTCTTGTAATGCCCCCTCCACAAAAAAAAAGAGGTGATGGTTCAGAGCTCTGGAGACTTAATCACCACATCTAGCATATGTACAACCACCTTTCTCAGTGTACACCAGCTTCCCTTATTTTTCCTCTTATCTGATGCTATCCTATTTCAAAGACTTTTCCTATCACTCACAGTTTCCCTCCACCCCTCCCTTCTTCCCAGGATCAACTTCACTCCTGATTTCTCTGCCTTCTCCCCCTGAGTGGTTCAGGGAGATGGGGAATGGAGACTGTGGTCAGTTCATCATACATTGTCTCTGCCACTTCTTCCTCCTCAGGGGACTACCCCTCACACTCTTCCCCTGCTCTAGTGGGGGGTCCCTCACATGGGATATGGTTGCCTGTGAACTTTTCCAGTGTGAGTCCTTCCCACAGGCTGCAGTTCTTCACAAACTGCTCCAGCATGGGTCTTTCCATGGGGTACATCCTTCAGGAACAGACTGCTCCAGTGTGGGTCCCTTCCAAGGGAAGTCTAAGGTGCAGTCCTTCAGGAACAGACTGTGTGGAAGCATCTAGTTGAGGAGGTGAAACCCTGAGCTAGACATTTTGTGACATTTTAGACATTCTGTGTTCCTTCATCCTGCTGGAAAAACAGTAAATTATCTAGATGGTCACAATTCTCTCTCCTGGCTTTAATTTCATAGCTTATATAAGCCAATGCTAATGAGTGTCACATAATTAAATGCTGCAATAATGTCCTTTTTACATTGTACCTTCACCAGAGGACAAAGACTCTTTCTTTTTTTTTTTTAATAGCTTATGATTTAATATAAGGCAAGATACAACAGGCCTTTAACAACCTAGAAGAAAGCAATGAATGATATCTTGCTGTTACCTAGGCTAACTATATTTAAGGTTCCAATTGAGATTTTTCCCTTCTGTTTTCAATGAATTTGGGCCTGTTGGGGAATTTTCATAGTCTTATTGTGGATTAGCCCCGGAGCTCAGAAAGCCATGTGCTCAAGCTGGAGCACCTGAATATCCCAAGAAGTCTTCAAACAAAATGGACTTTCAAGTGCAAAGGTATCTAAAGCAACCAGGACCTCTGACCAAGATATTTTCTGAATTGTGACCCCACACTTACTTATTTCATACCATTTGACAAATTACACTTACTCAAGTCTGATAGTTTCTTAGTGCTTAACTTCCATGTACTAAGTATGGGTCCACACTAAATCCTGTATCTTTCTTTTCTCAATCAATGTCAGGATCATCTCATGAACTGACAAGAGTTATGTTGCTAAAGTGTTTTAAATTCCATATTTCTTCCAATATATGTCTGTATATCAAATAAGATGTGTACTGATATAGTCACAGGGGCTGAACTAACAGCATGAGATAATGTTTTACTGTCGACTTGTTTGAAAGTAAACTTTCTTTTGGAGTTCCAAGCTTGATTAAAGTGATAAAGTAGCTTTACCTCAGCTATTTTTTTCCCCTTTTTTTATGTGTTTGGTAATTGTATTTTCTAATATTCTTTGGTTTGGATTTGCTCAGCCAATTCTGCGTTCTGTCAGAGGTGAGAGTTTGAAGAGAGGAGGCCCACTTCTTTTCTTCCTTGTGAATTAGGAAAAAAATACTGAATTCTTATCTTGTGCTGGCAGGCACATTAATCACATCCTTCTCAGTCAGGTTAAGCTGGATCCTTCCTGCAGGTGAACTCATGGGAGTCAACTCTGAGGGAAAGAAATTTAAATTGGGAAGGGAGCATGTTCCTTCCTGTTCATCTTCGTGTTGCTCTATTTACACTTGGTGAATTTGAACTCCATTGTAATGTACATGTGGGAAACCCCACATGCCTGAATTTTAGGATTTGTACTCAGCTTTGCTGGTTTGCTTCCTCAGTCCTATTCTGATTGCAGTGACTTACATAGTCACTGGGCATGTATAGGAGTTCTGTGTCTTGGGATTCCGTTACATCTGGCTTTCTTCTATCTGTTAGAGGATTGATCTTGAATCCGTTCAAATCAGCAGCATAATCTTGGTGCAGGATAAAAACCAGGATGTAATTTTCCTAGCCTGCTGAGTGTTGGTGGCACCCCAGCTAAAATCTTATGTCCATCTAAGAGCAACACACTGCTGGAAGCATTCAGCCAAGCTGGAGGAGATTTACAGGAAAGCAACGTGGAAGTCAAATGATTTGGAAAACACAGATTGAGAAAAACAAGTTTTGCTCTACAAAAGGAGAAGATGGAGTGCATTATATCCAGCTACTTGAAGAGATTTTCTAAGGGTGTTTAGCATGCTTATCCCTGAGCTTCTAGAGATACAGGCTAGCAAGACTGCATGGCTCCATGCAGTGTTGTGCTTGGGTCTGGAAAAAGGTGTGAAGATCCAAGCAGTTCTGTGCCCTGGGTGACTGACTTTGAAAATCAGTACCCCGTGGTCTTTCCATATCAGTTTGAATGTAGCTCTGCTGCTTTCAAATTTGGATTTGACATCAAGTTCTCTGTCACTGTACTTCACACCACAATTTCCCAGCCTCTCCGCTTAAGCCAGTACAGAAGTCCCAAGAGAGAGATGTATCTAGCAGTTCTTCATCTTGTGAAAGCTAGGAAATGCAGAAACAGTCAAAGCAGCCTGAGGGAACTTTAGGTTACACATTAAGAAATCTTCATTGCTTTATGGGTGGTTAAACATTAGAGCAGGTTGCCTACAGGGTTTGAGGAATTATTACTATCACTGTAGATAGAAATACAGTCTATGCAGGAGAAGTGTGAGTGGCTTTGGTCCTAGTTTGGTGTGGAAGGATGGGTAAAATCCTGTAGGCTTTACGTAGGTGGAAATCATCTCTGTTTAAATGGCGATTCAGTGTGCTTTTCCTGGTCCAGAATTGTGTGAATACATTTATTACTGACTATTTGCAGGTTAGATCTAGTGTTCCAGGCGTATGCTGGATTGCAAGAATTCTTGTGTATTTTGGCCTAAAAGTTACTAAGATGACAGCCTGTTTGTTAAAGTCTCATCATGAATTAATCAAATTTGCTGAAGTAACTGAAACTAAGCCAGCTGCTTTAACAAGTTCCTTCTGAGCAACCCTAGTGCTCATATTTATCTCAGTTTGGTATTTTTAGATTTTCAGGACTGAAATAAATTTTAGAAAATCTGAATTCAATGTCAGTCTTTGCTTTCAACTTTTTCCATCGTTTTGGGAAATGTTCACTTTCTGAAAACAGAAGACGAAAGTACTTCCTACATCTCTATCTGTTTCATGTTTAAAATGTTAGACTTTTTAAGGACAGTGGCTGATTCTAGTACAGTTTATTTAGTCATGGAATAATGGAGCCCTGCTCTTTTGTCAAGTTCCTTCACTCAGGTCTAAAAAAATGACAGATAAGTAAATAATTTTAGAAAACTAATAGGTAATACAGTGCTAGGATAATGTTCCCTCACCAGCCTTCTATGCACATGAAATACCAAAATAACTTAAAGAATGATGTCAAGAGAATAAATGTTGGATAGGATTGAGTTTGTTGGGAGAGAGCAGTATCGTCTCACCAGCATTGGTGTTCAGCAGAAAACTGATAGGAAGAAAAGCAATACAAAATTCGTGTGTACAGGTAGGATCTAATTTTAGATCAGTTACTACAGTTAGGAATATCAGGAAAGCTTTCATGCCTAGAAAACTCTTCTTTGAATCATGAATCTTTGCAAGTCTGAAAGTTTCCTTGTTGTGTATTTTTACTTTTTATTTTGGCTTACCGAGAGAGTTATCTTTCTATACAAATTTTTTCTGAGTTTTATTCTTAGAGCTTCATAGTTATGATTTAATGTCAGCAGTCAGCACTGCCTACTTTTCCTTGCTCAGTGATTTCTGAAATGAAATTGGATACCATCTTGCCTGCTATGTCAACACACAACTAGGGACAAGGTACAGATGTCATACTGCTGCTCTACATATATTTCATTATGAGCAGTGTAAAAGCTGAAATGGCTTTCTGCAAAGTCTGTGTCAGTTGGGATTGATTCTCTGCAGGTAACAGACTAGCTAGAATTCTAGGATTCTCCTTTCCATAAGCGTATTGTGCCTTGTGTTTAAAAAGGTGCATTGAGAAGGTAAGCAAGGTGGAACAAAATTTAGAACACTAAAATAATCAAACTAGCCACATGGCCAGAAGAAAATTTCTGCAGACAGAAGTAAAATTACTTGTATTGCATATCATGACAGCTCTTATCAGAACAACTGATGGATGTTATGGCTGGCAGTTTTCACAGAGGGGCTGAGGACTGGTAAGGATTACAGATTTTATGTTCTTGACTGAGAATCTTACGTCACCTTGAATTCCACTTGTTTTATAACCTTGGTCCCTGTGTGTCCTCTGCCTCTAATCGCTCTGTTGCCCTTTATGATGGCAATTTTGAGAAGCCAGAAGCACAACTTTGTTGTCAGAGCTAAGATGCCATTTTAGCTCTACTGACAAGAGGGAAAACACAGAAGTCCTCATTAAGGTTTTGGATTTCCTTTAGTGCCCCTTTTTATTTTTTGGATCCCAGTTCTCTAGAGATCCTGTTTATGTCAATGAGATTTATAGTTTCAAAGCTCAAGCTGTGTAGGATTCAGTCCCCAAGTTTTTTGGGAACAGGAGTGTCTGTCACTCTTGTGCACTGCATGGTGTTGTGTAAGTGTTGGTGCTATACAAACCAGAGCAAGGAGAGCAAATTTTCCCCTTCAACAGAATAAACCTGTTTGTAGGAAATTATTTAGTTTTTTTGCATTACTAAAAGTTTGAATGTCATTAGCAGAAATTCCTTTAATTTTAAACACAGTTCTTTGTATGATACAAGCCAGATCAACAAAAAAGGGAGAAAGAAATTCATTAGCCAGTATGTAGAAGATATATAGTTATGCTGCGTCCTTCTGAGATGAAGGGAGCAGCTTCTCTTGGCTCTGTCATGCACGGGATGAGATTGTCTCTCACCAGAGGCACCTCTGCAGCACACAGGGATATTGTATTAAAATAGCTCAATAATGGTGCCTTGAAGTCCTTATAGACTGGCAGTTTTAAGGCCCACTGGTTTGCTCAGCCAGGCATTTCAGCTTGCTGAGCGTGAACAAAGTGCTGTAGTGTGTGGCTGGATTGGGGTCTTGGAATAGAACAAAATGAAAAGATAGGTCCTCTGTTGCTGTCCCTCATTGATAGGACAGTGGATGATTTTTTTCCAGTCAGATAGCTCTGGGTCTGCTGGATGGTTTCCAGGGAGTACTGTATGGGCATGGATTATAAATCTGTCTTTTCTTTGACACTGGATTCAGTTCGAACTCATCTTCTGTGTACACAACTTAGTAATCAAACTTGTGTCCTTTCACTCTCTGAAGCCTGAGTTTCAAAATTTCTCATTCCAAAGGATCAGTATTTATGAGGCAGGGCAGTGTGTGTTTGGCTCTTCTTACTCCATGGATTGAATAGACTAGGGCTGGTCCATTGTAGGAAACCTTGAATCGAAACCCACGGATTGCTTTTTCTGCAGCTTTTCTCTCCCTGTTGCCTCCTTGCACATCTATCCAAGAACAGCCTGCGTCTTGTCAGACCCACCAATATTGTCCCCATTTCATAAGTTGCCAAGCAGGAAAAAAGTACAGGGTTTGAAATAATTTGTTAAGTGCCAGCATATAGCTGAAAATAAGCACTGATGTGACACTACTGACATGCAGAATATCAGAAGCAACCACTTGACTGCTCTCTGAGGGAGACTGGCAGCAGTGGTGAAAAGCTGTAAATTATCTCTGATCACAGTCATCAGCTGATGGAAAACTGTTGCTTTTCAGTATCCTTGGCAATCTCACCGCCAGATTCCTCCTTTCCCCTGATGATGACAGTTGATCTTGCTGATTTTCTGTCCCTTTCTCCATCACATCTGAGGTCCTCATCACTACTTGACTCATCCAGCTGGCTGTAAACGTACCAGTGATGGAGAGCATGGAGGCATGAGGGCACCAGCCTCCAGCAGCTTCTAAAAGTCCACAAGTGTCATTTATCAGGCCTTGTCACTGTCTTTAACAATACAAGCCTCTCTCTGCTAACTGCTTCTAATTACACCATTACTGTCAAATGCCAGGGAAAATGGGTGGATGGTGTAGTTAAAACATACATCCATGTGCATTGCAGGTCAGTGTCCCACAGAAGTATTTTCTGAGAAAGCATCTTTGTTTTCTTTTCAGCAAACCCCTGTGAGCTCCACTGTCGCCCAATAGATGGCCATTTTTCAGAGAAGATGCTTGATGCAGTCACTGATGGTACTCCTTGCTTTGAAGGAAGGCACAGCCGAGATATCTGTATTAATGGCATGTGTAAGGTATTGGGTATGTTTGCATGTTTCTTTCTCTACAATTTTATTTTATAAAGTTGTGGGAAAATGTTTTACGGGAAAATTAACAAATTAACAAACTTTTGAGGATTGAGGTCAAGTATGCCATTTTACCACGTTCTTAGTGATCATGGAAACACAAGTTTGTATAAACAGCTTTTCAAAGTAGACATAAGAGCTGTTTCCACCCTTTTTAATTAATCCATTACACTGAGTAGTAACTATTTCTGGTACATTTTAATTCCTCTCTTCTTCCATTATTCTAAAACATCAGTTTAAGAAAACCTGTTTGTTTCTATGAGATGTTTTCACAAAGGATTGTAGCTTTAGGGTTCTAATTGATGTTACCACTCCCTGTGTTTTTTTTATGAAAATGCAGTTTAACATTACACATTATGTAGGAGTTCTGAACTGACTTGTTACAGGATCAGGTGTTTGCACTTCAGTGCAGTAAAAATTATTTTTGTTTAAAACAGTAACTTCAATAATGCTGTACAATGAAATAACAGGCAAACACAGAGTATATAGTTCAGAAGTGAAGAATAAGTATAACATTCTCTGCATATTCTACATCTTGATAGTAGGTTTCTAGGATGATGTGTTTGTTTGTGGCATTTGAAGATGTGTTCTTGTAAATTCTGTAATACCCACAGTCCTAACTTAGTGAATTAGGTTTTAGTGAATTTCTGATAAATAAAATGAGTACTTTACTTGTAGGGGATGTATTCACAACAACATCTTACTTTTTCAAACTGGGGATTTGTATGCTGTACCCCTTTAAGCCTGATAGCTTTTTTGCTTTTAACATCTTCAAAACAAAAGCAGGACTTGGTGTCTTGTGGACACTATGTTAGCTTACTGTAGGGAGCTTGGGATTGTATGTCTTAAGTCATTGTATAATACAAATACAGCTAGATGGGACTTCAAGAAGTCATGTTTCATCTCTTTAGAGAATCATAGAATCATAGAATAGTTAGAGTTGGAAAGGACCTTAAGATCATCTAGTTCCAAGCCCCCTGCTGTGAGCAGGGACCCCCCACGTTAAACTGTGTCGCCCAAGGCTCTGTCCAGCCTGGCCTTGAACACCACCAGGGCTGGAGCATTCACAACTTCCTTGGGCAACCCATTCCAGTGCCTCACCACCCTCACTGTAAAGAACTTCTTCCTTATATCTAATCTAAATTTCCCCTGTTTAAGTTTAAAGCCATTACCTCTTGTCCTGTCATGTTCCTTTTTTCATATTTTTTGCGTTCTTTTCTTGAAGATTTCTAGTGATGGAAACTCTGCATATTTGATAGGTCATTGGTATACCCTCTCTGAAGACTTTCTATTTTGGTAGAATGCCAGTGCCTCAAGAGAGCAGCAATAAAAGATTTGTTTCAAGCTTTCCTAGCAGGGCATGCATTTGTGAAAAGGGGTTACCAAGATCCTGCTCAAATTCACAGTGAAGAGATTCTGCTTGACTTTGCTGATACCAGGATGGGCCTTTTAACTATCATGGTGAAAGACCTGACCTGGACTTGAACAGTTCAAGACAGGTGGAAACACATCATTAGCAAACCGAAATGTGTGGGAAATACTGCATACCATATCACTGCTTTTGACCTTGGAAGAGGCTGTCTGTGTGATGTTGCACTTCCATTTTCTGATTTCCAGCCCAAATGGACAGGGATCACTATGGTAATTTTAGTTTCCATATGCTTTCTGTGTTGAACCTTGCCTGTGACAGTCAAATTTATACCTGTTAGAAATAGCAAAACTTAATTAATCAGAAGAGATAAGTCAGACGTGAAAGGAAAGCTAATTGTAGTTTCTAGATACTAGATATACTTTTAATAGTTCTGGGGACTCAAAGCCTTTCTAAAAAAATTCACCCAAGGTACTGGTGCTATCATAAATACAGTTTTGCCAGCATTTCACATGTTGACTGCTGCTTCACATCTTATGGCAAACAGATTTAACTGGAGTCAGAATCATGGAGTGAACAGTATAATCATGCAACTGCCGCAAATGAGACTGAATTATGAATATAACCCAAATAGCTCACATTTCTAAAAGACCGTGTGCTTTTATCTGAAATAGATACCCAATATAACACTTGAGGAGAAGCATTTTTAAGTGTCTCCATATAATTCACTGGCATTTTAGTCCAGCTAGTTAAACACAATACATACATTACATGTCACGGTGAATAAATCTGGGAATGCATTTAATATAATTAATCTGGTACGTCATTATTGTACTCTAGTAGCAACATGTTGCTAATGATGCGGAAAAGGTGTTCACAAACATTAGTGGCAACGTCTATTAAAGTGCTGTTCTGGCTTTCAGTACTGTATCTCACAAAAGCACTTCACATTTCTTCTTAGAGCTAAAATAACACTTCACTTAGGTCTGAAATTGAGCAGACAGACACTAGTGTTGATCCACTTGGTCCTTGCAATTTGTCCATTATTTGGGTCTTACTCTTTTAGAAGTTCTGCCTGTGCCTCAGTGCAGAAGGAAGCCTTACCAGTCAGGCGTTGTTGGTATGGCATTCCTTTAGAACTTGCCTTGTCAAATCCGAGACAAGCTGGAAATAATAACTGATTGAAGGTTTGGCATATGCAATAGCTGGGTCTTCTCTCAGCTTCATCCTTACACAGAAAAGGATTTGCCCAAGCGCGTTCAATGCTGGTACATCACTGAGTGGTGGAGACAGTGACTGCAAAGTGGTGTCTCAAATCTACATGCCTTCAGCTACAGACATGTTTTGTTCCAAGTGGAGCAGCTAATAAGGAGATGAGACATGGAGTCCCCCTAATGTTTTTATTTTGTGTAGCCTGGCCTTCCTTTAAGTGTCTACCACATCTTGTGATGTCTGACTTACAAACAGCCGAGTGGAGAGAGTCAACAAGATCTGCCAGTAATTTAATCTCAAATCATCAAGAAATACCATGAGTAGTTTGCTATTTAGTTGTACTCCTCTATACTCATCCTCTGAGTGTCACTTTTCCCCTTTATTTAGAAGATCTTTAAAGCACATAGCTTGTCTTGCTGTGTTTTAAATTATACATCACAAATGCACTCAAATTCTTACTAGAGCAGTCTGTTGCTCCCCCAGTGTTAATAAGCAAAGATACTGCCATCAGAGTATGTTGCTTGAGCACTGATGTATACGTGACTGAGGAGTTTGGCTAAATTCAAGCCATGGCATCATCTAAAAGTGGAGGTGTACGTGGTGTATGCACTGAGAATGGGACCCGGCATCTCTGCTGTTTCTAGCAAGCATTCATTTTTCAAACAGAATTCTAATAGGCGTAAATGACCTTCAGTCATGCAAATCTGTAAGCTGTTCTCTGTGGTAATTCACAATGGTTACGTTGAGAGACTAACATTGTGTTGGAGAATTACACAGCTGTGTAGTACTAGGGAGGAAAATGTGTTGCTGTTTTGTTTACTTTTGCTGAAAGGCAGATTGCATATCTCGGATTTTTTGTAGTAGCCTTACTACCTCTCACTATGGTCTATCTCATTATCCCACTGCTAGCCCAACAGGACATTGATTCAGACCCATGTAGACAAGTTATAAGAGAAATAGGCACTCAGGACACGCTTCTCCCTATTTAAGGCAATGCCATGGCCAACATGAAATGAACATGATTTTGTTATTTGGAGACAAGTGGGGGAGACAGACGGAAGGAAGAG